CTCCAGTAAGCAGTTTAGTGGCCAAGTCTCAGGTTACCGTGAACTTAAGAAGATGGAAGGGATAGCTCAGGTAGAATCTAAAGGAGAGTCTGTTGAATTTACTACCTCGGTGAGTGGAAAGCAGCTTCCAAGCTAAACGTACATGCCATTCAATCTCAATTTCCATCCCCACATTTATGACCTTCCAGAACAGATTAGTGGAGAGTTCATTTCTGCATTAAAATCATAACTTTACCTACCAAACATCTCATATATGAAGAACTGGTGTTAAAAACAAGAAAATATGCTCAAAGCGGAGTCACCGACGTTGAGCCCCACATCACCAAACTTCACTTAATTAGTTTCAGCCTCTCCCAGAAATGGAATCTTAAACCAGGGAATCAGGAATCGTCTGGTCAGCACAGTGAGGTCATCTGCCTGGCGGACCCCTGCATCCCTTAAAGGGGGGTGGCCTCGCCACAACCAACCTGCTTTTTCCCAAGTAGAGCTTCCTGTTCCCGCTCCTTCTACCTGTAAAAGTCTTTCACGTTGTACAGCTCCTCGGAGCTCCTCTCTATCTGCTAGATGGGATGCTGCCCGATTCATGACTCAAAGAAAGCCAGTAACATCTTTAAAACGTACTCAGTTAGAGACTCCCCTGGTGGCACAGTGGTTAAGAATCTGCCTACCAGTGCAGGGGACACGGGTTCGAGCCCTGGTCCGGGAAGATCCCACATGCTGCGGAGCAACTAAGCCCGTGTGCCGCAACTACTGAGCCTGCGCTCTAGAGCCCGCGAGCCACAACTACTGAGTCTGCATGCCACAACTACTGAAGCCCACACGCCCTAGAGCCCATGCTCTGCAACAATAGAAGCCACCGCAATGAGAAGCCCGTGCACCACAACGAAGGGCAGCCCCCGCTCACCGCAACCAGAGAAAGCCCAGGCGCAGCAACAAAGACCCAACACAGCCAAAAAGATACATATTAATTAATTAAAAAAAAATTTACTCAGTTGAATTTTATGTTTTAACAATGGGTAGGAGTGAGAAATGACATTATTGACATTAAAGAGGACAAGTCCTGGAAGGGTTAGCTACCAGAGACAAGAGTTCTGACTGGAAACCAGCAGGATCTGTATCTGTATTTTTCTTTAAGTCAATGTACAAGAAATTATGGGCTAGATGTGACCACCTGCAGGCATCCTAAGTATGCACAACTCCATGGAACTCACTTAACGATCATCTCCAGAACGATGCCCATACTGTGAGAGCTCCAGTCCAACATTTTTCTGCACTGTTGAAGTCAATTTTTTAAACTGACTTTTCCCTGTTGCAAAAAGGGAAAGAGATTTTTCTCTTTTTCTTAGAGCATTTCTCTGAAAAACCTAGAGTTTGTAAGTCCTTCCTCTGTCCCTTTGGTATGTAAGCAAACCTTTTTAAAGGCTAAATAAGCTAGCTCCAGCCACAAGTAAAACCCAAGAATTTTTTTCTGAAGGGCCTGGGAGCCATCTCTCTTAAGGTAACGTCGTGCGAGTTTAGCCTAGGCACCTCGACTACCGGCTCATAGAAATTAAGGATGTTTTACTTTTCTTTCAGAGAAAGGCAACTGACTAGCACAGACGGCCACCCCAACCACCAGGTAAATTTAGGATGAAAACACATACAGCAAGTGGTGTTGCCTAGTCTTTTTACAAGAGAACAAATTACCATTAATCTTGAGATTATGTATGTAATGGGCTGTAAATGGTGGGTTGTTTTTTTTCTGTTTTTGTAGTCTCATTTGCAGATTACCTGTGTTGTATCCCAGTTTCGGTTAATGACTGAATAACAGAATTCTTTTCTTTCCGCATTTGTGGAGAGCATTTCCTAGGTTGGCAGGAGATTTTATTTGTACCTTTTCCCAACATAAATGTGGACTGGACCACCTCACAGGTCCCACCTTGACAGCTCCCTCAATAAGGAAAGGTGGGGACTTGCCTGGCGGTCCAGTGGTTAAGACTCCACGCTTCACAGGTTCGATCCCTGGTCAGGGAACTAAAATCCTACACGCCCCACAGCACAGCGCCCCCCCGCAAAAAAACATGGGAAAGGTGTTCCTCTCTGACAAGAGCTTTAGAGACTCAGCCATTCCGGTCATGTGAGTGCCAGACCTTCCTATATCCCTGCCTTTGTGACACCCCACCTGGATCATTGCAAAGACGTCTTACTCAAAACTGAACTCATGTCCTTCCTCTGAGTTCTGATCTCAGATACACAGGCCAGAAAATTAATCAGCCCTGAACCTCCCTCTTCCATCTTACCCCAGAGTGAACCTATTACCAAGCCCCACTGATCCTACCTTTTAAACGCCCTCACACCCATCGACCGCCTCCGCCGACGGAGAAGCCAGAGTGATCTTTCATATAAACACACACCTGCTGGTTCTACTCCCTGAATGAGACTCCTCAGTGGCCTCCCACCATCCTTAGGAGAAGCTCCAGATACTTGGCATGACCTGTGAGGCCTGCATGGTCTGACCCCTGCCTACCTCTCCAACCCCATCTCCCTGAGTCGCTCCCCCTCCCTCTCCGTCCTCCAGCCCCAACTGGGAGCTTAAGCTCCAGGAGGACACAGACCATGTCTATTTGCTCATGCTATGTCCCTAGCACAGTGCCTAGCACATAGTAGATGGTAAACAAACACATCTGAAGAATAATATTGGTAAAACAACTGTAGCATCTTAAATGGAAAGCAAGTAAAACATGAATTAAATTAATAACTATCCTTAAACGTTTGTATCCTAGGTAGCTAACATAGGACTTGGACCATTGGGAGACTAAAAAATGTTAAAAAATTTTGCAAACCAGAGACAAATAGGGTGAAATACAATACTGGCACTCCTGTCTATTCAGCTTTGTCATCCAGGTAACCAACACTGAGCAAGTGTCACACTGAGGTCTCTGCCCCTCCGCACATCTGTCCCCACCCAGGGCAACCAGAGGCCTAACCATGTCTGAAGAAGGATATGTCCTGGGAAGCAAATAAACCCTGGGGCGCAGCACTGCTCGGATGGGATCCAACCTGTGTCCGCTTCTGCCTTGGAAGCACTCTCCACTGCCCGCCACATGGGTCGCTCCGAAACTACCAGTCACAGCCCCTCCGACCCTCGAGGCCTCACGTGCGTCCCTCCTCTTCACTCTTCTCTTTGCCCTTTTTTTCTTTTTTTGCGGTACGCGGGCCTCTCACCGTTGTGGCCTTTCCCGTTGCGGAGCACAGGCTCCAAACGCACAGGCTCAGCGGCCATGGCTCACGGGCCCAGCGGCTCCGCGACATGTGGGATCTTCCCGGACCAGGGCACGAACCCGTGTCCCCTGCATCGGCAGGCGGACTCTCAACCACTGCACCACCAGGGAAGCTCTCTCTTTGCCCATTTTAACTCCAACTCAGTCCTTAAGGTCTCAGCTGACTACTATCTCCTCAGGAAAGGCGACCCTGTCCCTCCTCACCCGGCCTGAGGCCACTGACCCCATTATATATTCTTACAGCGCCCTCTACTGTCTCCTATGGCGGGTACCACGACCACAGCCAATATTTCCTTGGTCATTTTCTATTTTCTGTGGGTCTCCCTTGCTAGACTCATTGCTTATGAGTTGCTACCTCAACTCAAGTTGCTACCTGAAGACAGGGGCTGTGTCTGCTTTAGCCATCAGTGTATCCCCAACACCTAGCACCTGCTGGTACAGACCAGCTGTTCAATAAATATCTGTGAAGTGAAGGAATTAATGAAATACATAGACAAGCACTAGCTTTTGGAGTGACATGGAATTGGCTCTGCCCTTACTAGTTCAGTGCTAAATTTCTTCCCATCTCTGAGTCCATTTCTTCTACTATAAATGAAGACAGGACTTCCCTGGTGGCGCAGTGGTTGAGAATCCACCTGCCAACGCAGGGGACACGGGTTCGTAGACCTGGTCCGGGAAGATCCCACATGCCGCGGAGCAACTAAGTCCGTGCGCCACAACTACTGAGCCTGCGCTCTAGAGCCCGTGAGCCACAAACTACTGAGCCCGCTTACTGCAACTACTGAAGCCCACGCGCCTAGAGCCCGTGCTCCGCAACAAGAGAAGCCCGCGCACCACAATGAAGAGTAGTCCCCTCTGGACACAACTAGAGAAAGCCCACGCACAGCAACGAAGACCCAATGCAGCCAAAAATAAATAAACTTTTAAAAAACATATTAAAAAAATAAATTCTTGAGCAAGGACCTTTTCAGAAGCAACCCTTGTACTAGAATTAGTTTGTTTTATACAGAAGCCTAGTTTTAAAAGCCTGCTTCCCTCACTTATTTGCTGTGGGTGCTCTCAGCACCCAAAACTGGGCTGGAAAATATCGTGATACCACTCACTATACTATACTCTCTCGTGCTGAGGAATAAGAGATACCTACAACAGTCATTTTGGTGGGTGCTCAAAAAAGTTAGTTCCCTAACTATCCTTAAGAATTAGATCACTTTTGCTAATTCTATCCCTGTATAACCAAGTTGAGGATCCCTTTTTCTATCTGCCACTTTTCTAGAAACTGACTTCCTCTGTTTTGCCCATACACAGGTTGGAAGACGTGAAAAGCACTTCCTGGTAATTCCATTAAGAGAAGCAAGTATTATGTTCACTAAACACACGTGTATATGAAGCTCAAAAATTATTTCTTTAACTATTTCGTAACAAAAGTAACTCGTCAATTCTCAAATCACCATAGCAAACGAAACTAAAAAGAGGGTTGTATGGGTACCATTTGTTGAGCACCTATTCTGTGCCAAACCCTAGCTGAGTACCACCCATGCGCAATCTCACCACGCTTCTCGACAAACTCATTGCGGGGGCGGGGGGGCGTTTTATTCCCAAAGTTACAGCTGAGGGAGGACACTGGTCCAAGCCGCACAGCTTGGGAACGACAGAGCAAGGGCAGGAGGAGCAAGAGATGCCGTGGCCACCTCGCGGGTACGCAGCAGGTCAGCACCCCGCCCTGCCTCTGAACAAAGGTACCTGCTGCGCTAACTCTGCACCGGCCAGGTGCCGCCAGCCTCGCCCGCGCACGGCGCGGAGTCGGGGAAATCGGGTCCGCCGCCTGCCTACACCCACTTGCAGCCGCGCAAACCGAGGCTCAAAGCTCAGCGAAGGCGCGGCTCGCCATGCAGAAAACGCTGAGCCCGGACTCCGGTGCCGGCGTCTCTCCGGGTCCGCAGCCTCCGCTCGGCCTCCACACCACTCCTCTCCCCTCAGCGGGCGAGACGAGCTCGAGCCGGGACCTGCCGCGCGCCTCAGCTCGGGGCGGGACCTCGCGCCCCTCGCCTCCGAGGTTCCCCCGCCCGCAGCCCTACCTGCTCGCTGCGGAGGCCATGGCGAATCAACCCCATCCTCCCGCCTCTCCGGTGACGTATTTTTCCCTCGACCAGTCGTGAGGCTGCGCATGCGCGTTGGGCGGGCGCTCCTCAAGGCGCAGGTAGGAGGGGCTGGATGCGGAGGTCTGAATCGCGTCTTCCAGCCTAAGTACTGTCCCTCCGTCTTCGGAGGGAAATTCGGAAGGTCGCGGTTTGAGTTCCGTGCACTCTTGGGGAAGAAGGCAGGGGACACAAAGTTGAAGAATGTGTGCTACGGCGTATAAAGCCTTAGTAATTAAAGCGGTGTGATACTGGCCCAAGGATAAATAAAAAGATCAATGCAAAAAGAAGTGAGAAGCCAGAAACAGCCCCACGGGTATGTAGTCACATGTCTTCTCCCCACAAAAGAGCAACTGTGATGAAATAGAAGAGTTATTTTGAAGGAAAAGTGCTCGATCAATTGAATGTCCTTGGCGGGGTTGGGAGACGAACCGTAACCCCTACCTCACGCAAAAAAATCAATCCAAGATAGGTTGTAGACGTAAATGTGAAAGACACGACTCTGGAAAATAACAGCCAACAGCAGAATATCGGGGTTTTTTAGTTTTGTTTTGCTTGGCTGCGTCGCGCGGTTTTGGGGATCTTAGTTCCGGGACCAGGGATCCAGCCCTGCCAGAGCAGTGAAAGCGCCGAGCCCTAACCAATGGACCCCCAGGGAAGTCCCAAACAGCAGAATATCGTGACCGTGGGAGAGGAAAATACTTTTTAGCAGGACATTAAAAAGTACCGACCTTAAAGGGAAATGCTGATAAATTGGTCATCGTTAACTTTAAGACGTGGAAAGACACCATCAAGAGAGCAAAAGGCAAGCAATAGAGTGGAGAAGGTATTTGCAATACGTATATCTGAAGATGACTTTTATTTAGAATATATAAGTAATTCTTGCAAATAAATTCTGTAAAGATGTCAAGTAGTAAAAGAGGAAGCATGGAAAGAGGATGTGGAGAGAGAAACTGGGGGGAATTCTCATGGTTCAAAATTCAAGAGATGGCAAAAGTGTATAAATTGAAAAACCTCCCTTCCTTTTGTTCAGGCACCCCTTTCTCCTTCACCTTGGTAACAGTGCCAGCTGTGCTTGTCTTTCCAGAGCCATCTTATGTGTGGTCAAGCAATTATGTATATATTCAGCATTCTCCCCACCGTCCCTTGTTATACAAACAACATAATACTCTACACACTGCTTTTATTCGCTTTAGTCAATTAACATACCATGGAAGTCCTCACAAGTATCCACAAAATCTGAAAACAAGAGCGAAATTTTAAGGACAGCAGATTTTGCATTAGAAACCCAGAAGCCAGAAGAAAGTGACGCAACATTTTTCAAGTGCAACTCAAAATTCTACATCCAGCAAAAGTATCCTTCAGGAATGAAAGGGAAACAGACATTATCACATGAAGGAAAACTAAGAGAATCTGTCGCCAACAGGCCTACCCTACAAAAATGACTAAAGGAAGTGCTATAAACAGAAAGGCAATGATAAAGAAGGAATCTTAGAACGTTAGGCTCTAAGATATAGAAAGAACACTGTAAGAGTAAAAATATGGGTAAACAAAATAGACTTCTCTTAAATTTTCTAAATTATGTTGAATTGTTGAAGGAAAAATTATAACACTTTCCAATATGGTTCTCAATGTATGCAAAGGAAATATTTAAAACAATTACAAATGCGAAGGGATAAACAGACATAAAAGGAGGTGAGCTTTCTACACTTCACTTGAACGGATAAAATGTAGACAACAGTAGACAGTGATAAGTTATGTATATATAATGAAATCCCTAGGGCAACCACTTAAAAAGTTATACAAAGAGATACACTAAAAAATACTATAGATGAATCAAAATGGAATCCAAAAATGTTCAAATAACCACAGGAAGAAAAAAGCCAACAAAACAAAACAAACAAAAATGGAAAGCAAAAATAAAATGATACACTTAAACCTTAACATATTCATAATTACAACATTAAAAGAAAGAGGTCTAAATACAAAAAAGAGATTGGCAGAGTGGATAAAAATAATATAACCAAAGTATGCTAGCTACAAGAAACTCAATTGTATAGGTAGGCTGAAAGTACAAGGATGGAAAAAGATAAACTGTGCAAACGTTAATTAAGAGAAAGCAGGAGTCGCTATATTAATACCAGATAAAATTGACTGAAGAGCAGAGAAATATGTATATGTATAGCTGATTCACTTTGTTATAAAGCAGAAACTAACAACCATTGTAAAGCAATTATACTCCAATAAAGATGTTAAAAAAAAAAAAAAGAGCAGAGAAAATTACCAGGGACGGAAAGGTACCTTACATATAGAAGAGTCAATCCCTAAGAAGACACAGCAACCCTAAATCTTTATGCACCAAACAACAGAGGTGCAAAATATGCAAAGAAAAATCTGATAGAACTAAAAGGAGAAATAGACAAATCCACAATTACAGCTGAAGACTTCAACACACCTCTCTCAGTACGTGACAGAACAAATAAGAAGTCAGCAAAGATTTGGAAAGGCTTAATGATACCATTAACCAACAGGATCTAATCAAGATTTGTAGAACACCTGCTAACACCAGAGACAACACATCCTTTTTAAGCACTCACAGAACATAAGTCAAGATAGACCATATCCTGGCCGTAAAAACTAACCTCAACATATTTAAAATAATTGAAATTTTATAGAGTGTGTACCAACTACAATGGGATCAAACTGGGTATCAGGACTTCCCTGGTGGTCCAGTGGTTAAGACTTCGCCTTCCATTGCAGGGAGTGCGGGTTCAATCCCTGGTCAGGAAGCTAAGATCCCACATGCCCTGTGGCCAAAAAAACAAATCATAAAGCAGAAGCAATATTGTAACAAATTCAATCAGGACTTTAAAAATGGTCCACATCCAAAAAACAAAACCTTAAAAAAATTGGGTATCAATAAGAGAATGATAAAAAGAAAATCCAAAAACTTGGAAGCTGAACAACACACTTTTAAATAATCTATGGATCAAAAAGGTAATCTCAAGTTAAAAATACATTGAACTGAATGAGGGACTTCCCTCGTGGTCCAGTGGTTGAGACTTCGCCTTCCAATGCAGGGGGTGAGGGTTCGACCCCTGGTTGGGGAACTAGGGTCCCACGTGCCTTGCAGCCAAAGGGCCAAGACATAAAACAGAAGCAATATTGTAACAAATTCAATAAAGACTTAAAAAAAAAGTCCACATCAAAAAAACACTTTAAAAATAAATTAATTAAATAAAATAAATAAAAATACATTGAACTGAATGAAAATGAAAATAGAATACAAACTACTACACATAAAATAGATAAGCAACAAGGATATACTGTATAACAGGGAATTATATTCAATATCTTGTAATAACCTATAATGCAATATAATCTGAAAAAATATATAACTGAATCACTCTGCCATACACCTGAAACTAACACAATGTAAATCAACTATACTTTAATTTTTAAAAAATGGAAATACTTAGGTATAAATAAAAGATGTATAGGGGCTTCCCTGGTGGCACAGTGGTTAAGAATCCGCCTGCCAATGCAGGGGACATGGGTTCGATGCCTGGTCCGGGAAGATCCCACATGCTGCAGAGCAACTAAGCCCGTGTGCCACAACTACTGAGCCTGTGCTCAGAGCCCGCGAGCCACAACTACTGAAGCCCACGCACCTAGGGCCCGCACTCTGCAGCAAGACAAGCCACAGTGAGAAGCCCGCACACAGCAAAGAAGACCCAATGCAGCCAAAACTAAATAAATTAATTTAAAAATAATAATAAATAAAATGTATGTTGAAAGGCAAAGGAACTACAATAGCTAAAACAATTTTGAAAAAGAATAATAAAGTGGGAGGAATCACTCTACCTGATTACAAACCTTATTATAGAGCTCAAACTCTGTGATGTCGAGGGACGGACACATGGATCAAGGGGACAGAATTGAGGACCCAGAAGTAGCTCCACACAATTAAGTCCATCTGATTTTTGAAAAAGTTGAAAAAGCAATTCAGTGCAGAAAGAATAGTCTTTTTTAACAAATGGTGCTGGAACAATTGGATATCTATAGGCAAAACATAAATAAAGAACATCAATCTAAACCTCACATCTTTTGAAAAATTAATTCAAAATGAACCAAATTTAAATGTAAAACATAAAATTATAGGGTTTGGGGTTTTTTTTGGCCACAGTACGCAGCATGTGGGGTATTAGTTCCCCAACCAGGGATGGAACCTGTGCCCCCTGCTGTGGAAGCGCGGAGTCTTAACCACTGGAGCGCCAGGAAGTCCCTAAAATATAAATTTATAAGACTTTTAGAAGATAGGAGAAAATTTGGTGGAACTAGGAGTTGACGAGTTCTTAGACATGACACTAAAAGTATGTTCCGTAAAAGAAAAAATTGATAATGTGGACTTAATTGATGTTGAAATCTTTTGCTCTGCAAAAAACCCTGTTAATGGGCTGCAAAAACTAATTACGGACTAGGAGAAAATATTTGAAAATCATACATCTGAAAAAGGATTCATATCTAGATTACATAAAGAACTCTCAAAACTCAACAGTAAACAAATGGACAATTCAATTTAAACACGAACAAAGAGGGGCTTCCCTGGTGGTCCAAATAAGGTTTAAAATTAAAATTATTCATTCCAAATAAGGTTTAAAATTTAAAAATAAAAAACCCCACATGACAGATGTTGAGTTTCTTACCACCTCCAACCTCAGGCTTCTCAACCTAAAATGAAGATAATAAAGTGTGAGACCAAAGGTGTAACCCACCAGAGTTCTTGGCTTCCTTAACCAGTAGAAATTGATCAGAGGGCAGACAAGAAATTCAGGCAAGGCTTTACTGGGACCGCTGATGCAGCGGGGCGAGGGAGAACAAACAACAGGTTGCCTTGTTTGCCAGCTCCCTGAGAGGGGGCGGGCTTGTTCCTCACATGGGGTGAAGGTAGGGGTGTGTCCAGGGGTCGGGTCAGAGGGGTGGCTTAGCTGTTTTGCCCATCCCTTAGGTGGTGTTGAGAGCAGGGGGCGTTCGCAGTACCCTGTTTTTGCTCCCTGCTCTT